ATTGGCACAAATTACACCAACATTTGAAGCTGAGCTTCAGAAGGTATTTCATATATCCTGTTTTCCTAGGGATTAGTGACATGGATGGTTGCTAAGGAAATAGAGAAAATTTAAACAAAGGTTCTTCTCTTTAAGGAGAAACTTTTGTGCATTTCCCGGGGCTGTTTATTGGATCATTTATTTTGTGGGACTTTGTGCTTTAAATAGTTTTTTTTTTTTTGCCAAGCCACATCTAAAGTTAGTTTGATTTATGATTCAAGAAAGCTATTGGCCTACTACTTCTTGCAGCCACATGAATAATCTGTCCTTTTGAAAGAGCCTTACTGGCATATGCAATGCAGAATTTGACTTCTTTTCCTGTTGGCATGTCTGTACAGACATTCCTTCATCATAATTTTTAATCAATGCAATGGAAATGGCACCAGTTTTTGCAATTATGGCCACTGCATTCCTAAGAGGACCGGTAAAAGAATTTATTGTGCTACCTTTTATAAGTTGACTATTGGGAAAGTAATTATACCCTGAGGAGAGAGGAACACACTGATCTCTCAGTTTGGAAATCCTTTAGGAAGATTTTTTTTCTAATGCACACAGAGCTCATTTAGATATTACATATCTGTCTGAAATATGAAAAGCCCCGCTAGAGTCCTGAAAAAGAAGGTACAAATTTTTCCAACTTTTTATCTTACCAGAAAATGTGTAGCTGCATAAAAAAAAATGCAGCTACTTGCGGTAGGGCCACTGAATTGTGATAATGTAGGCAATATATATTCCATATTGTGGCAGAGTATAATATGTAATGGACCACAATTTCTTCAGAAAAATATATTTTGAAAGCCTAACATTTCTGTCTCAGTTCCTAAATCTTGATATGGACCTCGGAAATATTCATCTCTGAAATTCTAGAGAGATATTGCCAATCAGCATAGATGGTATCAGATTAATGGATCAATATGTTAAACTCTGATAAGGTAATTTCTGTGTTTCCTAAAATAGTTAAATTATGTCCCAAAGGTGCTTTTTCAGGAAGCAACTTTCTTGTTTTTCTTTGAAGATGTTTCACTTCTCATCCAAGAAGCTTCTTCAGCTTTGGTACAACCATGACCTGGATGACTGAGAATCTCCATAGACATTTAGTTAAATTATGATCTGTAAAGTTTTATTGTAGAAGGCAGTTCATAAATAATAATGCAGTTCATAAATCCAAGCCAGTCCAGGAATCAATACAGAAGTAAATCACATTAAAATTATGGGCAGATTTTAAGATTTATTCTGGATAGTCTGGATAGTTTTGTTCTGTCCACCTCTACCCTCTGTTATATCCACCTTTGTTAATAGTTTTGTCTACTGTAATCTTCCATCTGTCAGATCTAGACTGCAAAAATATACATGACTAATACAGGTAGTCCTTGATTTACGAGCACAATTGAGCCCAAAATCTATGTTGCTAAGTAAAACATTTGTTAAGTGAGTTTTGCTCCATTTTATGACTTTTCTTGTCACAGTTGTTAAGTGAGTTACTGCAGTGGTTAAATTAGTAACATGGTTGTTAAGTGAATCTGGCTTCCTCAATGACTTTTCTTGTCAAAAGGTTATGAAAGGTGATCCCACGACACCGGGCAACCGTCTAAATATGAGCCAGTTGCCAAGTATCTGAATTTTGATCATGTGACCATGGGGATGCATCAATAGTTGTAAGTGTGAAAACTGGTCATAAAGTACTTTTTTCAGTGCTGTTTAACTTTGGTCACTAAACGAATTGTTGAAAGTCAAGGACTACCTGTACATAACTTCAAAAATTAAACATCTTTTTGCTGCCATTTTCAGTCATCCATAGCTGTCCTGTCCTGACATCCAGTGGGATGAAATTGGGGGAGAGTAAAGTTACACAGAGGCTCACCCAAATACTATGTGTTTTTATGTATTTGAGAGAAAATGGGGGGAGGGGAAGAGAAAACAAAGAAAGGTTCTTATGCATGTGAAAGAAAGGTGTGTGAGGGTGGATAGGCTGTATAACTGTAGGATTTTTTAAACTGGAGGTGCATTTATTTGTAAAAACAATCACAAACCATAGTTTTCTTTTAATTTGTCATGTCTTCCTTTCTTAGATTACCTTACTGGTTAGTGGTTAGCTCACTAAATGAAAGGGGAAAAAAACCCAACCAACTTGATAGCGATCACATAACACACTGACAAATGTCCTCCTCTCAGCTTCAATACATGACATCAATAACTGAATCTTACTGTGATCTGATTGGCTCATTGCCAAAACAAGATGACAACTGATTGGCTCTCTAAACACTCATGCTCATTGGCTACAATCAGATGAAGGAAAGCTACCTGATATCAACCTAAGCAAGTTGTGCTTCCTTTCCCTGGTTATTTGGCTATAACTTTTCATAGAATACAGTACAGATAATTGAACAAGCTTTGTTGCATTACATTCTTGATTAAATTATCTTTCCATTGATATATAATTTTATGGTACTACTCCAAAAAAAGTGGTGTTATTAGCCATCAAACCTCAAAAATACACTTTTCCCAAAAGGTTTCCACAATTTTGGCCACTACTGTATGTATACCTGGGCAGATAGCTTCACTTGTAGAAATGCTAAACATTTTTTTCTCTTTGTAGAGTAAGTATAAACTAAAAAAACTTAAATTTCAAATGGAGACTACTTTCCATTTTGTCAGCTAGATCAATATGAGAATGGAAATTCTTTACTGTTGTTTCCATAGCAATTTATCACTGCTACTGTCACAATTGACATCAGTTATCACAATGAACATCACCTCCAACTTAAGGCTTCAGAAATGCCAATTTCACAGTCTGTGCACAATGACAACTACTTCTAGCTTAGTAGTATGAAATATCACTACAGTTTGTGTATGTGTTTTGGGAGTGGGAGGTTTAAAGGAAGATGTTAAGCTTATATATGAAAGACAACTCAGAAAGATTTGGGGAGAGGTTTATGAATTACTCTAGCAATTCCATAGAATAAAATCAAGACACTCCTATTTTTTTCTTATTTAAAACTTTATGGGAATTCTTTCATAGCAAAATTTGGAAATTTCCAATCTAATAGCCATAGCATTTTTTTCCCTGTGCAATGGGAATATAGGTATAGAGAGCTATGAAATATGTGTCATGAAAAATTACAGAAATAAACAGAAGTCAAAAAAGTTAAGAGCGTCAGACAAACAGGGAAATATAATTACATGAAATAAAGAATGTCAGTCACTATAAGAACAAATGGCCTTAAGGCACATCATGAATATCTGATCAAAGAATCACAAGTTTCCTTGTAGCAGAAAGGGATACACACATGGTCACTACGTACAAAGGATTATGGTCAGAGATGCAAAGTAAATTATATATTCCATGAATTAAACATGGGAGGAAAAAGGGGAATTCTCAAGATACAAATAATCCATGTTTTGTGGAAGTTGAGCAATGCTAAAAATTCTATAGAAAAGAAGACATGGAGTGGATCATGAAAAATATTTTTCATAACATACTATAATGAAAAATGCAGTCACCCATACACTTTCCTATTTATAGTTTGCAAGAAATGTAAAGGGCATAAAATATTATAAGACATACTGAAATGGAATGAAGCTATGCAATAGCACTATTGTGTATTTGTGACAATGCAAAAATCGGCAGGAATCCATTGTAAGCAGGGTGCTTATTTGATCAAATCCCACTCCCAATGCATGAGACTATCAGTTGGTGTGCTGGGACTCCTTGGTAGGAAATTCTGTAGAGAGAGATGTTATAGTTCAGCACCATAGCATATTTTGTGGGGGGGAAAGCCTTTTCTAACATTATTCTATAATATTTCCAGTTTCAAATCAGTTTGACTGGAATGGCTGGTGACAACCTTGGCCTAAACCATTGGCAATAAAACCTGGAGCACGGCTTCAAGGCATACCACATAAAAAGCAAGTTTGTGCCTGGTCAAGGCTGGAATAGAACTGGGAATATTAAGTTCTGAGGTTATAGAAAAGTGGTGATAGAAATATTATAACTAAAAAATAAAAAGGTGGAATGTTAGTCAATATAAGGCAGGTTTTTATATTCACATACTGTACCTTATCGTTGAGTATTTTGTTATATTTCTTATATTGAAAGAGAGGTTCCATATTTGTATTACAGCTCTAAAGAGCTGTAATTTATATTCCTGGGAATATGTGTGCATAACAAATCATTGGTAGAATTCATTGTGATCTCACATAATACATAATTCTTAATATTTTTGCATGTCTATGTTCAGCTTACTAAAATCATTTGCATTCTACACAAGTGTAAAAATCATAGTTTTGCATAAAACCTTGAATAATATTTCACATAAAGGTATAGATCTGTTTTGAACAATGAAAAGTGGAAATTAAAGATAGATGAAATTCAGTTACCCCATCAATTCAAGATAATAAATTGTGCTAGAATAAGTAATGTTTGTAGAGAATTCAAGAATACTTACTGCAGTTTACAGGATAAGTACAGATTTATAACCAATTGTGTAATTTCAAATGTAATTTCAACATATCTTTTTTACAATGCTCACAGTAGAGAACATCAGCTGTATTAACAGGACTTCTTTATCAAAATTATCTCAAAACAAGCCACCAACCACTGTACAGATACAAACCACCACATTTTTAATTCATACATGAATAGGAGGGAGTTAAATTCCTTTGACAATCTATGGACATAAGCCCACAAAATCCTTAAATTGTACAATGTCAAAAACACAACCAGTCCTTCCCAAAGGGGAAAAGAGAAGAAACAACAAAGAAGTGGATCTGTGTTTGAGTGATGGACAAAACTTGTTTACACTTTCTATAAAATTCAGACATTCCAACAAAGTAATACTTTGAATATTGCCTCACTGAACTAGTAAAAACTAGATTGCTTTTATTTGTTTTGTGATTTCCAGATTGCCAGTATCTGTAGCAAAAAGATTGAGGAAAAAAAGTCATTTCATGGCACTATTTCATTGGATTTAGGCAATGGTATATTCTGTTGCTGTTGATTTTCCTTATTGATTTGGTAGCTGTGAAATCCATATGCTAATGCTTCTAATGATCAACCATTCCTTTTGGCTTTTGGTAACAAGTATTCTCATGCAGTTAATATCAAAAAGAACTTTGTGCTCCACACCTATGATTTCCAAATTTCCATTTTTAAATTCTCCTAGTCTCAGGAAGGTAGTACATTGCCTTTCCTTTTTGCCCCCAACAGTTTTTTCCCCAACTTCCAGAGCACCATGATGCAAAACATCATTTTGTCGGTCTTCAGTACCAGTGACAATTTTGATTCTGCTAATTTTAAGAGGCCTATCAAAGACAATGACATAAAAATCTCCAGTTGAGGGTGCTTTCGCCCAGAAGTATTCATCCACACTACTATATGCCTTGCTCGCCTCATAATTCTCAAATACATTCATATTGGTATGCAAGTTGGCAGGAGGGTTATCTGGAAGGTCAAATGAATCCTCTTCAAAGTCATCATCTTTTAATTTATTTTCAGCTCCTTTGTAAGATGAGTAATATCCCATGTGCTGAAAAAGGGATGGTTTGAAACGTATGACATCCTTTTGAGCCAACAGCCCACGGAAATGTATCAGCAACCAATCACAAGGCATTTCCTGGTAGAACATCAATAAAAAATGAGCCAGGCGAGGGAGATCATGGGAATGATACAATTTCCCAATGTAACCCAACTTGGAAAATTCTAAAGTTACCCAGTAGGTTCCCTCTCGTGAAGTTATGACTTTTTTAATAACAGTCAAAAAGTTTTTTGCACATCGAACATCATCTTCTAACATTACATAATAATCAGAAAGGTTAGCACAAAAGTTAAGCAAGAATGCATAGTCAACATTTTGCTTGGAACGAAATTTCACCCGGTCTTCTGGATCATTGTAATTTCTCTTAAGCCCATCCAAAACTGGATAATATTCTTCTGGTGTATGGATTACCATTAATCTGCCAGCAATTACATGATGGGCAAATTTCTGTGAAATATCTTGAACCATGCTATCACACCAGGTGGAGTCAAATTCTGCCAGATGTACTACCACAGCAATTTCTTTCAGTTCTTCATAACTTGACTGCTCAAATATGGACTTGATTGTCTCCAGCAAATAATTCCCTTTTTTCCGTTTGACTGAAGATAATCCAATGGTAAGATATCCTGAATAATAATAACAAAAAATATTTTAAGTTCTATAGAACTGAGCAATAAAAGCAAATTTGGTTCTTATTCATAACAAATGATCTGGAAGATAAAAACATAACCAAGAAATAATTGTGCATGTCCAGCAGGACGTTTCCCTTTTTGCCTTTGTTGCTTTTGAAACAATCCTCCTTGCATATATCTCTTAGTGAACATTTTGCTTTGTCTTCCCATCCATCCATCTCCCTATCTCAAAAAATACAGGGCCTCTTACAGTTCAAGTGGTGGATTTTTAGACTGTATGTGTTCACATGGGTGAGCTAAATTATGCTAAAATGTCTTCCATTGAAAGTGGTGGGATTTTAATTGTACTTAAGTCTATCTGGATTCATGTAAGAATATATTTTGAATTAGCCTTTCAAAATTGCTTGGGAGACATAATTTTGTCACTTTGAATTCAAAGCACCACAACTGACAGTTTTATAAACCATATATTCTCTATTGCACCCTAGTATGTTTGCCTTATCATTTAAGGAGAAATGAGGGCACATTTCTAACAAGCAGTGAAAGCAGTTGCTGTTGTATCAAAATTACCACTTGGTAAATATGGATAAAGAACCTGGGGATGGTTCCTCATGCTCATCCAAACAAACAAAGATCTATTTTTAAGAGCCTGGAAACAAAGAAGAACTAAGAATTCCCTTAATTTCTACAAAGTTTTAGCTATTTATAAGCTATCACACACACACACACACACACACACACGATAGCTGTCTCTATATAGCTATCATTATTAAAATACGGCATAGTTACGCATACAAGTTCTTTGAACAAGCCAGAACTAACAATGGTGCTTGTAGTGCTTTGTTCATCCCAGGAGAAAAGTCATAAAAGAACTCAGCTGGCAAAACCTATCATTTCCTGATATTCTTTTAATTTCTATCATTTGTCTTTCTTCCATTTTTGTTAGGTAGCCACAAACTGTGCCTCAGGATAGAAATCCCTGAAAGAAAGATAAGTTTATGTCCATGTACATTACCTGGTGGCCTAGTTCTGATGGAATCTTTCTCTCTCTCCCCCGTCATTCTCCTCTCATCAACTAAAGACCCTTCCCCTCTTTCTTGCCTAGAAAACAACCTCTCTTTTTATTCTCAGATTCCAAGTTAAGCTGTGACCTTCAATACGCTGAGATGTTCCCTGCTTAGCATTTAAATATGTTTATGTGGTGTTAATGTAATGCTACATCTTTAAAATCTTTACTTTTTTCTTTGCTGTAGCAAGAAATTTAAAACTACATCTGTATATTTCTTTCTTTGCTATAGCAATAAGCTTTGGGATTTTTCTCCTTCACTACTGTAACAAGAAGCTACATCTTTTAATATATTTTTTTGCTTGCTTACTTTTACTTAGTCTATGGCTAAATTCTCTGTATGTTCAATTAAAGAAGACCACTTCTCAAATTCCACTACTTCCTTTTTTTGAACTTGCATTCTCTTTCTCTCATTGAATGCAAGGTATTCCATTCCCCATAGATAGTTAACTGCTCAGGTTCTCTGGGTTTGCATTTGGACTGCAATTATTTAAGAATGCTGGCTTAAGCTGTTAATAGTATCTATTGAATATCAAAGGATTATTTGATAACATTATATGGCTTTTGCATCAAATATTTTTCAATACAATATATTTATGGATTATTAATTATAGCTTCTGATTAAGTCTTCATCACTTCATTTTAGAATTCCAGATTACATAAACTCATTTATAAGTCTCTGGATCCTAGAGAGAAATGATGCTATGTGGTAGGTCTTTTTTTTTTTTTTTTGTAACATGGACCAAAATATGATTTGTTTGTTTTTGCTTTAGAATTTTGTATGCATCTACTGATGATAGTTTGGAAACATAGTTATGCCTTAGCACATTCTAGCAAGTTGGGTGAACTAGCTTTTCTGCCCTAATTCACCTGTATGATCAGGTACTTCGTGGGAGCAATATATGATTTCATGAGCAAAATTGCTATTAGCTGCTTAATGAGAACATGAGAACATGTTCTGTTTCCCAGATCTATGAAAATTGTCATAACTACTGAAACTAGAGCTGCTCTATTTGTTTGATATCCTACTTTTGAAAGGGCAAATGGCTGCAGTCTCTTATATCTAAGCCTCAGCAGAGACAGGGAGCATCTGGCTCACCTTTTCTGGATTTCGAAGTTGAGCAGATTTAGTCCTGGTTAGTATTTGAACTAACCAATGAACCCCAGAGAAGTAAACTAGACATTAAAGTAAAAAATGAAATATCCTTCTGGAAGAAAGCAAAGTCAAGCTGCTTCAATACAGATAGCAAGCATGCCCAGGGGTCCCCCAGAAGTTGAGCTCATCTTGAGGACATCTTTACTTTTATACCATGTAAAGATCAAATTCTAGGCAGATTCAAAGGGTGTTCCCCTGTTAAGTGAGATTACAGAGCCCTTTTCATTCTCTCTTCTTTTGGATTGCATATAAGCTTTTTATGTTCTGTGAAAAATTTAATGGCATTGCCCTCTAAAAAGCTGATGAACTTACTTTTGCAACATTTTCTTTGTGACATTTAGAGTAGATAAAAAAAAACTATTTGTTGTTAAGAAAATGGAAAAAATCTGTTACTTACTTTTTCTTATTAAAGGTGTACCAGCCAGATAGCGATAGGAAACATTTATTGATCCTGAGAAGTTGGACAGATCTTTAAAACTGTGAACATACCGCTCTGAATTTAATTGATGTGTTGCCGTATCTCTGATTAACTGCTTATCTCCATTCTAAAAGTTGGGAGAGAAAAGAAAAACAAAATAAAAGATACACAGCATAACTACTGTAAGAAGTGGAGGGAAAAATCTAGCAATATGAACAATATCTTGTATTATTTATCTGCTTCAATCTTACTTTACATTTATTCCAGTTACAGACATGTTTAACATGGCAGTTCCAAATGAAGACATTATCACTGACATCCAAAGCAGCATTAATCAAATTGAGCCAAAATTTCATAATGAATGCGGAGAATGGAAATGCATATTTAGAAATATGAATCTGTACTGGCATGCTGGACCAAGATACAAAGTGGATACTATATTTTCCTCATCTCTCCACTATCCTAAAAATTTCCTCTGATTTTATAAGCACTCTTTTTTCCCATTATGCCACAGTTATCAATTAAAACTAGGTACTATTCAAATCAATAGTATTGGAGATTTATGACACTCAGTTTCCATGATATCTGAATACTTACAGGTTTAACAGTTTGTAGATTTGGAAATGAATGTTTGCTTAGTCCCTTTTCAGATTCAAGATCAGGAATGTCCAAGAGGTAGAAGGTGTTGGATCCTATGTATTACTGTGCCACACTTACTAACTTACCTCTTTACTCCATTTCTAAAATTAATTACAATTATTTTTGTATAGCTGATGGGTGAGAACTGTCTGTTCTATGATCCTCTGGGAAATGTTTCCAGAATTGAAAGGGCTGTAGTCATTGTTGTTAGACTTCTCTAAACTGGGTCAACAAAAAAACATCAAGAATAGGTTTCCAAGATATGAAAGCTCAGATAAATTGTTTGATTATAAAAAAGGTAAATAAGTCATTGTTTAAGAATTCTAGTGATTGTTGTGAATGAATGCAAGATTTGTGTACAATGAAAATAAAGTTCAGATTCTCCTTACAGGTTGTTTTTTTGCCTGCCCATGCAGTCAAATAATCTACAAGCTTATCTTTTTTTGGACAAGGACACTTTTCATCTGACTCTTGTTTTGGTAATAAACTCAACTAGTATCAGGATGTTTGTGTTCATTTGATGAACAGCCCTCCAAATAATAATAACATCAACAACAACACATTATGGCCTGAACATATCTGAGATAAAATGATATGGCCTGTCTTAGTGCATGGGAGAATAATCCCTGGAACAGAGGGGACACCCTCTGTGATGAATGACATGTGCTATCTAAAAGATCAAAGACAAAACACTATAAGCATCTAGATATTTAACAGGTGGTTGATGAGGGGCCGGAGTGCAACAAACAACTTGTTCTTGTTGTTAAAGGCTTGACACAGTGGCAGGTAAGTATAGGTAGTTCTCAGGTATGGAACTACCAAAAATCCTAAGGAGAAAGCAAGTAGTGTTAAATACTCCAAAATGTAATGGGCTAGAATCCAATCCCTTTTGTTTGAGAATAATGAACTCTATATTTTTTTTGCTTTGGTAACAGACTGAAGTTGTTTGTTTAGAACTGTCACGTTTATTAATTTTGATTTCTTTGAAACAATGGCAAAGAATCACAGGAGCCAATAGTATTCCCTCTATGAGACCAGCAAGACTGCCAAAAGTCATAATTCTGTCTGTCTGTCTGTCTGTCTGTCTGTCTGTCTGTCTGTCTGTCTNTATCTATCTATCTTAGGTATTAACTCGATAATATCTAGCAGTTTAGTGCATTTTTCCTGCAGTTGCACCCAACGTTATAGGAAAGAGGGTAGTGGATGTTATATTAGTAGGGGAAAATTGAGAAATTTAATGGATTTATGAAAATGACTATGTTTTTATAACAAGGGAAAATCAAGGGTTGTATAGGGATTGTAAAATCAATAAGATTCTGATTTCTAGGATTAAATTAGGTTAAAGGATAAAGTCTTATCTGTTACAAACCTCTGACTTCAGAAGACAGCAAGATAAGAACTCCTGTAAATGGGAAAAATGATTGACTCCAAATCGCATGGAACTTGAGTGTTTTAGACTGAAAATAAAAGTTTAAAAATTCTTCTTATGACACAGCTGAGATAGAAGGAGGTCCACTCAGTTGCCCAACATGCCATGCTAAAACAACATGAATGTCTCCATATGGAAGTCCCATGAGTTCACTCCAGTTTGATGTGGTCTTTTCTCCTTCAAGGCCATCTCTGATAGTCAATATTTCATTATTTAGCTAAATAATCATAAATTAAAATGTTGTTTTGCAATATGGTTATTGTTATTATTCTATTATGTGTGGATATTTTGAATGCTAATTAATGTTTCATTTAACTAAGTCAGATAGAGTGCTCAATGTACCCCTGGCTTTTTACTATAGATTAATAAAAAGAGAGTAATATAATACTTTTATTGTAAAATCTGTTTTCTCCTACTCCTGGAAATAAGGCTAGAAGCTAGGATCTCAGATTTTCTTTGAAATAAGCACTGAATGTGATTTCACTAATACAAAATTTGATTGTCTGAACAATGCTTCCCTGTGATTCATCTATCTCTTCTGTATAAGTGCCTTCTTTAATGCATCTCAAAGCTAGGTTTCCTCTACCGGTATTCTGGTCTATGTCTCAGGGGATATTCATGCAAAAACTACTTTGTTGCAATTTCACAAAGGAGTTCTTGCATTGAATTTTAGTCCTTTTTCATGGAAGTTTAATGTGGTTAATGCTGGTAAGCAGTTTTAGTCATAGTGCATGCCTGGAAACAAGAGAAATTTAAATACACTTAAAAATTCAAAGAAGTCAATGTCCCTGCATTTTGTCTCCATCTTTTGAAAAGACTCAGCAGTAATGCAATCTATTTCCAACTTCTGACAGCTGTGTGTCTTCTCACCTCCTCCTTTGTCCCTTAGCTGCCTCTGCCAATTTGTTTTTTCTCCATACCTTTCCCAAGGGAAGATTACAAAGTAAACTGAACTTCTTTCTTGTTCTCTCCTCTCTCACTGAGTCACTCTGAAAAAGGTGACTGGGTATTTACCAAAGAAGGAGGTGAAGCAGAATATTTGATCATAAAAGGGGGGAGGGTTACTAGATATTTTCCAGCTATGTTCTGACATCAAGTGTCTATATTCACTCTTGTTTGACATGACCTCTCTACTTATTTATAAACTGCTCATTCTCTGAAGGATATATATTGGTAGGTTATATTAATTAATTAAGATAAAACAATAGGGCCAAGTGTAATACATAATGAGCTAAAGTGAAAGATATATTACATATGTCTCACTGACAGAGAAGCAGTGAAGGGACAATGGCATGTTTAGAAAAAGGACTTAGAAAAAGTGAGTGATTAAAACCAGGTCTTCATCTGGCACAAAAGGCAAATATTGTTAACATTAGGAAGGTCATTCTAACTTGTGTTGCACTTCTATTATCACTGCCTCAATCACTTTCACATGTTCATTCAGGGTCCTGAGGACTACACATCTAAGTACACCTGGAGAGTTTTAAAATGTTTGTTGTTTCCTATGCTTTTAGATTTCAAATACAAAAGCTTTCAGAAAACATAATGAAACCATTTATCTTCTTTATTAATCAGAAGACAAATAATATAATGGAGAAATCAGAAGAGCTGAGAGCTGTGGTCATAAAGAGAGAGAAAAAAGGAAAACAAAGAAACAAGCAAAGAAATCAAAAGCTTGATAAGAGCACAGTGGTTAGAATGCAGTACTGCAGGCTACTTCTGCTGACTGCCAGCTGCCAGCAGTTCGGCAGTTCAATTCTCACCAGCTCAAGGTTGACTCAACCTTCCATCCTACCGAGGTCAGTAAAATGAGGACTCAGATTGTTGGGGCAATATGCTGACTGTGTAAACTGCTTAGAGAGAGGGCTGTAAAGCACTGTGAAGCGTTATATAAGTCTAAGTGCTAGTGCTGTTATTAAAGTTCAACATCTATACTGGATCTATTTACAAATGAAAATAAACCATTAATTATTTTAGCCATGGTTTGTTGAATAAGCTAAAAACAAGACAGATGAGCAGGATAATCATTTGGCCAATTCCTGATTTGTTGTATATCCTTTCTAAGGCAATCTTGCCTTGAACCTCTGTGGATTGATTACAGGTTTGTTGCAAAACAAAACTAACCTATCAATAAGCTATGATTTCCTGTTCACCTGATACACTAAACTAGAAGTAGGAAAACACATTGTTTACTGGGAGCTATAACTGAGCCAATATCATATTTAGCTGAACTTTTTAGTAATGTTTTGCAGAAACAATGACAATGATGTCATAATATCATTAATTCATAATGTCCCACAGCTAGCTATGGCAGGTCTTGAAGAAACATTGCAGAGAAATATTAGGGAAAGGTAGGAGAGTTTCTTCTTTTTCTAAAAAAAAAAACCTGTAAAAATTGGTAGGAAACAATGTGTCTGTATCTTGACATTTGAATTTTGGTGGGTTGGTAGCTTTATGGAAGCTATAAAAATCTGATCTGATTATTTCTAAAGGTACTTTGCTGTTCAATGTGAATTCAGAATGGATCAAAAATTATGTATGAAATTAAGTTTTGAGGTGATGAAAAACATCAAAGCAAAATAGAAATTCTCAATCTTTATCTGCTTGTAGTCTGCTTAAACTATAATTTGTGTTCCTACCTATAGTCAACAGAAACTTGGTTTCATAATATATTTAAATGCATTCTCCGAATGGGCCTTAAAAATCTCAGGAGAATTATACAAGCAAAGCTGAGACTTGGCAATTAAATGTATCAGTTTTGTTTTAAAAGAAACAATGAGGGACAAACCTTTTTTATTATTAAAAAAAGACAAATTAAGTGTAAGACATCATGCCATCTGGGAAGTTCACATAAAGATCTGAAAACAAGCAAAACAGAAATAGCATAAAGTGCAATAAATAGAAAGCAACAGGATGCACCTAGAGGATCTCGAGTAATTAGCAAACCAAAGTGAATCAATGAATGTGACAAAAACATGATATAAACCAGATCAAATTGAATCAAAAGTGAGGGGGTGTGAATAAATAAAATCTTACAAAATATTTTAATGCAAACAGTGCCGTTAGAAGAAGCTATATTTCAAAACCCTAGTGGACTAAAATGGCTAAACAGGGAATTTTCTTACTTGTAAAAAGAAATGTGATTAAAATTGGAATATTCATCTACAAAAGCAAATTTTGTCAGTGATAAAATCTGTATCAAATCAAACATGAATTATAGTCAGTTGGAAAAGGTATTTTGACTAAGTCAAATGGTCCTTTAAAAAAATCAGATTCTCTAGAAGTCTCCCATGCAAGAAGGAACAATAGAAGTCATTTTTGACTCTAAGGTTGTGAACATCAAATTATTACCCATCAATTCCATATCTTTGGCTGGCAAAGAAATCTAGCTACATGCTGTTGAAAACAGAATTGTGGTATTGATAAACTTTTGAACTAAGTCTGCAAGCAATTTATATGTTCCTTGCCCTGATATTTCTTACTGGGTCTGAATTTTTTTTTTGAAGGAATCCAGTTTCTGAGAAAGAAGAACATATTTACAGCAGCACATGGAATTCTATTTCCACTGTGCTACAACTTCTGACCAATAGTAACCTTCATTATACTGAACATGGATTCTTAGGGTGATACCAGACAACCCTTGACCGGCTGAGCCATCCTTTCAGAGATACTTCCTTATCTAAACAGGGAATCTGAATGACCATGGGAGGGCAAAAAGGCAGTGGGAGCAGAAGTGATTTCTGACATCCTGCTGGCTTCCACACTGAATTTTCTACTGGGAAGTTGGAAAGCAGCATTAGAAATCTTCCCTTTTCCTTTCTGTTTCTCTTTCCCTCTCCCTTCCCAGCAGACAGGTAAGTGATTGTTGCTGGGTATGGGAAGAGCCATAGGCAGTGGTGGGATTCAGCTGGTTCATACCACTTTGGCAGATTTTTTGTTGCCCAGGTCCAGAATGGACTTCCGGAAGCGGCATCCACACAGAGAACTGGTTGTTCACATATTTGAATCCCACCACTGGCCATAGGATTGCAACAGTGGCTGGGAAACTAGGAAAATGTCATGGAATGTATAAAATGAGCATTATATGATACAGCCCAGCAACCCCAAAACAGATACAACTTCCCTGAATTTCATTCCTTTGGGTCCTGGATTTTGGATGCATATCTGAGTTAGCCTATTTGCAGGTACATTGGTTTAAAAACTGTTGCCCTGTGATGCATTGTTTCACGCAGTTCAAGTTATGGGAATGAGAGGTTTAGCATTATATAGATTTGCTGTTCCATTTGTACTCATAAAATCATGCAGGAATAAGGTTCTATCAGAGACTGTTATATTTGTCTTATTTCATCTTTTTGTCAGTGCACCCTTTCCTCATTTAGTAACTGCAATTTGTTCCAGTGACTTTGTTGTTAAGCAAAATGGTTGCTAAGTTAACATGTGACCAGGTGGAGGGGAGAGGAGGGAGGGAGACTGTGAAGATTGCTGGTTGCTGTCATCTAATTCAGGCAAAGCTCTCTCATGCAGCTATGCCATCATTATTGTGACTCCAGCATGCACTGTTGTCAGGCATAGAAATTTGGTTATGAGTCTGCATATTGGTCAGAAAATGATTTTTGTTTTACTATGGTTTATTATTGGTTTATTGCAAACAGTTACTGAGATACTGTGGTTGTTAAACAGGGAGCTGGTATAAATGCTTTTTCCCCCCTTACTAATGTTGTTGCACAGAGATTTGATTTGAGGATTTGACCAAATTTATAAAGGAAACGCCTTTCCAAAATGGACTGACAATTTGACTCAAACCATTGAATTAGATGCCTCTAAATTAATTCAGTGATTTGGAAGGGCTTTGCTAACAATATTTAAAAATCCAGATCAAACTAATTGCAATTTGACTCAGATCATCAACTGAAAATTTAAATTAAACCAGAACTCTTTCTTTACACTACCCTGAACAATTCATTTTTTCCTTTGGACTTTTGCACTTTATTTGCTTTTGTTTAGAAGGTCTGCTTGTTTTTGTTATCCTGTGTTATTAAAGAGCAATTAATTCTATATAATATCCAACTTACCAAGACATAGCTATCTTCAATGTACAAGTTCAAGAACAACAAGCAAATGACAAGGACTCCTAGAAAGGATACAGCGGATCGTTTGCGCAAGCACCTCATTTTGTCCCAAAGCTTCAATGTACATCTCACATGGAGATACAGCACCTCCTAAGGGAGAAAAACATAGTAACATTTGATTGGGGGATTTCGCTATTGCTGGAAATTTGCTTTTTTGATTACATTTTTAACAAAGTAAATACATAAATTCATTTCCAGGTTGTAGTTATTCCATAATACTCACTATCTTGGAAAGGCTTGGTAGGAGTTTTTGTTTTAATCTGCTTCCTTTTTAAAACATGTTTCTAGTCATTTTAACTGATTTTTTTTAACTTTTTGGCTAAAATGATCTATCAGTTGCATTTTCTATCTTGGATAAAATAAGGAATACAGTACTCCAGATATGGACATAATTCCCTGCAATTTCCACACAATCATCATGAAAACAAATCTAAGAATAATTTATGTTCTTTTTTTTTTATAGAAGACTATAATTTGGGGCAGATTACATGTTACATAGAATGTAAACTTTTAAAATTGTTATTATTGTTTGTCTGTTTAAATGGAAAACAACCTTTGCAGCCTACTGATTTGACATACAGAGCGGTTAGATAATTTAGTCAAATTACATTGGAAGGAAACAATATGTTAGTTAAAGGAAATTATCAAGGAAGTGAATAATGTAATTGACATGTTTTGATTTTTCTACAATGAAGTTGTAATAATTGCCTTTTTACTAAAAATAACATTTATTAGTAATGCTTTAAAAATCTTGTTAGTTTCTAAATAACCCATTTGGGTGGTTGATGCTTTGAAATAAATGCTGTGCAATACACATGATATTGGGAATACCTTCTAAAACAGGGGTGTCAAACTGCCAGCCCATGGGCTGGTTTCATCATAATGAAGCCATGCCCACCCCATTGCCAGCAATGCAAAAAGAGTTGTGACACATCGCAATACGTCATGTGACGTGGCGAGTTTGAAGCCCGTGTTCTAAAATATGAGTTGGGGAAAAAATATGGCTGCTTTAATGATTTAAGCAAAGGTGCTTTGAATCTGCTCTCATACATTGCGAAGACTTTTCGAAGCACAAGTAAAGTTCTACAACTCAATAATACTCTAAGAGATTTTGCTGCAATTAAAACATCCTGGCTTACCAAATTATTAATGAATGGTGCCAATTAAAGTTTATTGCATTAGCTGCTTCATAAGTTAAAAAGTCTAATTCATGTTTCAAAGGTGAAAGTGCATTGTCATTTTGTTCCTCATGCTATTCAGGAAAAATAAAAGTGTATACCCTATAGATATATATGGAGATGGTAAACAAATTCACATATTTATGTACAATACAGTACATTAAGTACAATATCTGAAAGAAAATAATACCAAAAATGCTGAGTTTCAAAAATAAAATAAAAATAAGATGTTGGTTATATCTAGAATGGCAATACCATTTTGTTGAGAAAAAAAAACCCTTTCCTAACTTCATTACTAATTGTTCTGAAATCACTAGATGGCAGTATGAACTTATAGTTGTTGTTTCTGCAACTATTTTACCTCTTTACAATTAGGTTACAAAAATGCATCATTTTATTTTTTTTTCGTTAACACATTTTGGACCAAATCTGATTTAACACTTTTCCTCTCAAAAGAAGCTTACAAGATATTAAAAAGGTTACATCAGAATTCAAAACTGATGTGGATTTTTTTCCCTCTGGGTGAGGAAAAAATGTAAGGCAAAGACAAAAGCTGTCTGTTCACTAAAAAGGCTGTTTCCAAAATTCATTAACTATGTGGCTGCATATGCCACAGAAATAGAACAGTGAAAATAATTTATTTGAAATTGTGTATTGCATTTTAGAGAGATTAATTATGCACACTTTACAAGAAAACAGAGAAAACAGACAAAGAGAATAAAACAGGAGGAATGAAAAGATAAGCAGTTTTACAAAATATAAATATTATTTCACCTCCAAATCTGTGAAAAGAGGCAACACAATAAGGCTGGCTGAATAAGAGATACAATTTTATTAATTAATTTGGAGATTCTTTAGGGGAGATATGTTCATTCATTCATTCATTCATTCATTCAATTTCTACACTGCCAATCTCTATTAAAATAACAGACTTCTTTCTTTTTACTTGTTCTGCGGAGATCCATACTACTAAAAGTTAAGGATGGAGAATGTCTCCTCACTTTTCTAAGTTCCTCCTGCTTGACTCAAAGTATCAAATCTATAATTAAAAGTTATCTTTGTTCCATACTGTTGATTTACCTTAAAAGTACGTCTAAAGCTTCTGGTTACAGTAATCCTTGTCATTAAGGAAGTTGTCACATTTAAAGGGTGATCCAACTGTTGGATCACCACAAGTCAATGAGATAAATGTAAAAATGCATATACATCAGAATTCTGCTACAATGGATCAATGACCTATCTGGTCCACCAATCTGTTCCCACAATGACCAAATGTTCAAAAGTAGGATACTAACTGCACTGTTTTTTATTTATTAATTAATCACATTTAAAATAAAAAGAGAGAACCAGCAAGCAATAAGAGAAAGCAAAAATAGTATAGAATAATATTGTTCTATATTGTATACAGATATATAAATATCTGTAAGTAAACAAAGGAATTCCCAAAGTTGTACAAATGGAACAACACATATTTACTAGAAATTAACCATAAAGAAACATTAAGTATATTATACAATTTTAACAATGTAGCAAGAATCTAGATCCCTGAGCTGAGTGCCAATTGTCATTTAAGATGCAAAACCAGAGAAAATAGAATAAGGGCAAAGAAAATTACTAAAAATCCTGTAGATAAATATACTTTCCAACTTCTCCTTTGTTGTACTCTGACTAATGTACAATATTTATAGACTTTAATTATATCAATTTATATTCTAAGGCAAAGGTCCCCAACCTTTTGGGCGCTAGGGACCAGTTCCGTGGAGAGAAGTTTTCTGCGTACCGGAGGGGGCATGGTTTCATGTACTGCCTGCATCCCACAGATGGGGCTTTGCTTGTTTGTGTGGCCCAGTTTCTGGCATGCTGCAGCCCGGTATTGGTCCACAGACCGGGGTTTGGGGACCCCTGTTCTAAGATACTGTTCCCAATACTAAAAATTTCTAGTAATCACTGAAGCTCTTACCCTCCATAACTTTCAAATCAGATCAACGAGTATCCAGCTATAGAATTCCCTTCAATCAGATTAATGGAGGAAACAAACACTGTTTCTTAATTCAAGCAGGACAGAGGCACCTGAACTTTAATAATTGCGTCACTTCATTCCTGGTTGTTCTGTGATCTTTTTAGCTTGGCTCCTTTTCCAGAACCAAATGGAGGCTTTGAGACAAGCTATTTGGGAAATATTCAAGTAAAATGCATGGCATTAAAATGTGTGTTAACAGAGAGCTTGTGTCTGTGAGCTTTTCTATAATGTAATTACAAGATAATCTTAGCTCTAAAACAATATGCACATTAAACACATTTGCTAATGTTCTTAGCTTTTAAAAAAGTAATGACTTATAAAATTAAAACTATCCCCCCCCCCCCCAAGAATACTGGTTACTAACAATGCACAGTATTTGCTTCCTTGGTGTCACTTTGGATATATATCTTTATACTTTATGGTTCAGTCTCATGCTCTGCTTAGCTGAGGTCATTATCTAGAGGAGCTGATGCAAGCAGACCTTCCCCATCACTCATATACAAGGACACATTTTCTTCTGATTCCAATAGGGTATAGTTCAGCTCTAGCATGTTGCTGCATCTTCTCCTGTGCCACTATTTAGCAAACCTGTTTGTCACATCTATGGAGCCATCAAATTGCACTGTCTATCTTGCATTAAAGTGCTATTTAGAAAATATGGATGGTGCAAAGGAAATGCAGTACTGTCTGGTTACAGTTCACATAATGCATTTTATTGTTTGGGAAGCATTGGTTGTTAACAAGATTACTATCAAATATGATGGATTTTTTTTTACAATGTACAGTGTACAATTTCCTTAGATTTTATCAGAACCGATAATCTGACTAATTATGAAGATTTTTTTAAAAGGTTATAATCTGTGGGAACCTTAGTGCTGAGTTTGTTTTCTTGCAGACATTTCATTATCCAACCAGGTAACTTCATTGGTGCTAGAAGGAAGTGGGGTTTGCTCTCTGTTAATATACGCATGGCTTGCCCTGTCAGCGTTGGTGGGAACATTCTTAGTAGGTCCTTGATTAGGCTATTGACTTGTTACTGCTTATTGGTCTGGAATTAATCCTGGTTTTAATCTCTGCTTATTTGGGTGTTGATTGCTGGTGAGCAGGTGTTTGTCTTTTTCTTTCCTTTTTAGCTTTTTGATTGTCTCTTTTGAATGGTATGTAAATATTGTTTATCTCTATATGCCTGTTGATGGCTGATTTGTCTAAGTGCCAGGCTTCCAGGAATTCTCTAATGTTTTTGGACTTCTGTTGGTGTAGGTTGCTCACAGTTTCCCAGTTGAAACTATGATTAAATTTGTCCATGTCTTATGGCAATAAGGAGTTTTCATCATGTCTTCTGGCTGCTAGTTGGTGTTCACTGATGTGCTCTGGTAATCTTCTACTTGTGTGTCCTACATCGTGGCTATTAAAGCCCTTATACTAAATGTAAATGTTGAAAATGCCTTTTCTTTTTGTGCAACTGGATCTTTTGGTTTACTTAAGATGTTTTGAAGGGTGATAGTTGGTTTGTGTGCTACAATCATGACATAGGGTTGTTTCTGAGATGTTTGTATATATGGCAGTGTTATCTTTTTCATGGGAGTTGATTGGGCTAAGTTTAATTGAGTGGTCAGGCATTTTTATAAAGTTGCTTGAGTATCCATTTTGTTGGAAGATAGTTTGTCTGTTTCTTTATCCTGATGATCAGAATCACTGATCTAAAGAGTGTTCTTAAACAGTTTTTCTTGTAGGAGGTTGGATTGCTACATTGATAGTGGAACACTTGGTTAGTGTGAGTGGTTTGACGATAGACTTGTGTTTCTAATTTGCTATATTGCCTCTCCTGATGCATATATCCAGAAAGGGTAGTGTGCTATTTTCTTCTTCCCTTATGAATTTTATTCCTTTGAAAATGTTGTTGATTATTTCATATGTCTACTCTAGTTGTTCCTTTTTCATTATGACAAAAGTGTCATTTACATACCTAATCCATACTAGGGTTGTATGTATGGGAGTGCTATACTTTCTAGACATTACATTTGTCTAGAAGTATGATGATGATGGTTTGTCTGAAACAGAACAGAAACAGAACCAACTCAAAGCAGAAGACAGAGCAGCCCTCAAAAACCTAAAAGATCAAACTATCATCATCCTACCAGCAGATATATCAGAATGACATATTTTGATACAACATTATTTTAAAACAATGCATCAAAACTTCACCACCATCGAAACTTAGAAAAAAAATATGTCCATCAATATTTGGCTGATATTATAATCATTTAGTTAATTTTATCCTGTTTTTATTTTTTCATAAATAATACTCCTTTGTCCTCCTATTTTCCTTGCAACAACAAATCTGCGAGGAAGGTTGGTTTGAGAAAGAGTGACTGGCCTAAAGTCATCCAGTCAGCTTCCATGCCTAAAGTGGGATTAGAACTCACAATCTCCCATTTTCTAGCCTGGTGCCTTACCACTAATCCAAACTTGCTCCCACATCTACATTTCTTGAACATATTATTTCATATTTGTGTTTTTTTCCCTGGGACAGTTGCAACATATTACATCTTTCAATTGATATGATCACCTATCTTCAAGCATGTTCAAATTTATCTTTCTATTCTTCTTCTTTAAAAGCTGTTAATGATGCCCCCAGGCCTATGTATTATTGCCTTCGTCAAACTTCAGAAGAGAAATGATATTTCAAAACACTATCAAAATAACAGCATGTCTCCCATGGATAATATTAAATTAAATTAAATTAAATAGGACACATAATTTCAAAGTCATTAAACAGATTTATGGAATTTCTTGCTAATGAAGTGAGAAACAGCGCAGGCAAAAAAGTATATTGAAGATCAAAATATAGATTATGATTTATAATAAAACTTTATTGTACAAAAGAAAAATATGGCAGATTTCCTCAAACTGTATATTTATTATCAATCCAAAAAGAGAAAGAAAATATCAAAAGGGAAGGGGAGGGGAGGGGAGGGGAGGGAAGAGAGGGGTCAAGACAGGATTGGGATAGGGTGAGGTGGGAGCTGTAGAAGGTTTACTTGGGAAAATTTATTTCCTCCCTCCCTCCCTCCCTCCCTCCCTCCCTCCCTCCCTTCCTTCCTTCCTTCCTTCCTTCCTTCCTTCCTTCCTTCCTTCCACTATTTACTTCATTTAAAAAGTGGATTAATTTAAAAAATTAAAAAAAAGTAAAAAAAGAGAAACTCTCCTGTATGGTCTCTTAGGGCAGTAGTCCTGCTGTTCTCTCTCATCATTCTCATAATCCTCCAGGAATTGCAGTGAGCCTGTCCTGAGATATTGCAATGTCAAGAACAGCCTTTCATATCTACAAGCCACGTAGAGCTTAAAAAGAAGTTTAAAAAGCAAAGTCAAA